CATCTCTTATTCCAGAAGGCTTAGGATAATGTTAATTTGTATAAAATAAACCAAGCTGAATATGTGGTTTTTCTTTGAAAATGTCATTTATAAAAAATTTATAAAAATTATCATAAAAGTTCCCATTGTTCTGGATGTAGCTCTAAACGATTTTTGACAAAGTCTCTAACAGCACACTGAGTACTTGTGTGTTACTAGCAAAATTTATCCATTGATACTAGTTCGATTACACTTTGTCTGTGATCAATTAGAAAGTATAAAAATGCTTGAAAAACAAACCAAAAAGTTTTGATGATTAAATTAAGGTAAATATTTATTTGCCTATCACTCCATTTTTACAGCATATTAAACTATATTGTAAGCAATGATGGATAGTGGTTAGCAGTGGAATCCAGGACGCGCATTTCGTCCTATTTGGGACAACTAAGAAATACTTGGAAATAAAAGTAGCAACTATACAGTCTCTATCGACGTTTTGACAAACAGCTTAATATGATGTCGTTCTGATTTCTTAAACAGCCCTAACTAGGTTTTGTTACTGAAATCCAATTACTCATTTTATTCAGGAGCACAAACAAGATAGAATGATCAAAATAATTTCGGTATTACAGTGAGGGCCAAATCATTTGAAGCTGCCCCTTCCAACCAAACAAGTTGGTCAAGCCTAGTAGGCTCTTCTGGAGCAAAACAGGCCACATCAAAGCACGGCACAACTACCGGGGCTAGGATAGCTGTTTCTGCTACCAGTTAGAGTTTGCCCAATGAGGAGCAACCCCGTACACTACAGGCACCACTTTTGTCAATTTTTGTCGTTTTTCCATTCAAGAGTAATTGTGCTGTGTTTCTTTGTGGAGTCCGTAATCGATTTGAAGTTATCGGTCGAGTGGGTGATTAGCCCGATTTCTACCACGCGGGTTACTGTTCACGTTAGTTCATGAGTCATTCGTCCCACTATCCAAGAGGCACGACGCGAACGTGTCAGTCGGATTTTTTCTTCAAAACATACTAATAATCCGCCTCCATATTCATAACGTGCAATTTTCCAAAGCAAATGACTTATATGCCTTCATTATTCACATTCGAACTAAATCGTATCGTTGTTCTTTAGTACCTTGATATTTTCTAAGCTAAAAACAGTTTATAGAACAAATAATTTGTAGATAGATGACTTCATTTATCATATTTTCCACGAAAAATATACTTCAAGGTTAAGTTTTACAAACAAGTGAAGTAATTATTTATGAAATCAATACTATTAAAGCATATATGAGGTTCAGTTCATTTGCCTCTTTAAAGAACAAGTTAACTGATTGATAATTAATTCTGATAATGGAGATGATGTTTATAAAAGTGATTTCATTGTGATCAACAATTGTACTCATATCTATTACTTTATTGTAACAGAACAATAAAAATTTTCTATCTCATCGAAATCCTCAACCGATTTGAGTTAGATCACTATTGAACACATGCAAGTACTGGACGACTGTTTAATCTGAGTATGATACTTTGCAGAGAACCAAACCCAGGGTCTTCGATCTCGTACGTAAACTCTTGAACCCAAGACCACTAAGTCGATGTCCAGCGATGTTAATGTCTAACTTTAATTAATCCACTATACTGTGCGGTTATATTCGACTGTCTTCGTTGAGTAACTGCCTTGCACCTGACACGAATTAGCTTTACTAGTCATGAGTTTCCTGTCAAAGCTATTCACTGGTTAGCACATAATAATTATAAATATAGTGTTGTAGAAGTCGTTTCATACTAAAATAAGACAGCCGTGCAGTGTTCCCTTGTTTTCAATAGTAATCTAAATTAGAGTGGTTCAGGATTCTAGTGAAATTTAACTAGCTCCACAAACCTATACTTACTATTTTCTGTCTGTTTGATTGAGAATTTTCTTTTAGCAGTGTACTAATTGGAATGTGAGGATCAAAATGCAACGGTTGTTCTGTTAGCCTAAACATATATATGTTTAGAAAAAAATTGAGTATTTACTAAACAACTTTTTCAAATGAAATGATCACTTACAAAACAGCTTCGATGATATTACGTACTGACTCCTGACAGTTGGTGGATAAGAACGCCTAAAGTCAGGTACTAATTAAAACTAAAGTGATAATAAATAGGTTATTTTGCTTAAACATAAAGATATACTTAAATAATTGTTTGGCAACTGTCATGAATATTTTTTTTCAACTAACTAATGTTGGCCATTGCTTTATATACAGATATTTGAACTATCGTTATTAACATACATGAAAGTTTGTACTTTCAGACACTTGTAATATTTTCAATACAGTCGTAGACAAGAATTCAAAGTCTCTGAAGCTTGTCATTTATAGGATAATCCATTTATTTGATTTTATGATTTGTGTAAAGTACAGGTTTTAAAATATTATAAGATTTAGTAAGGTATGGTGGAGAAGATTTGTAGCTCAGGTGAATGATTTTGATGGAGTTTTGTTCTCTAGATTATTGGGTCGTGGAGTTTTCATCATTCTTCTGAACGATATCATCAGACTTCTATCCGAAGTTTGGGTTTAATGCAAAACGATGTTGTACTAGCATTAATTTAGGGAGAAAAAAATGTTATAAAAAATCCATGAGTAAACTTTATGATGCACATAATTAGCCATTTGTCCATTTTATTGAGAAAAATAGAGGAGTAAATGAATATAATCGATTTGACAATTGAATCTACTTTCTTTTAAATAATCACTTTTAGTCAATGATACAGAAACCGGTATTTTTAAACAATTTATTTCCCATTTATTGTATAATCATAAATTAGCAAAATGAAAGTGCATCAGCTACTCACTCGAACTGATTAAATAAAAAAAGTTGAATTTCTTCCTATCATTTTTATATGCGACCGATAAATTTGATGGTATGTAAAATTTTTATGGATAGTTTATCTGAAATACTGAACTGTTAATTATTTTAAAATAGTCAGTTTACATTAAAATGACTTCAATCTTACTAAATTTAATTTTAAATATGAAATCAAATGCTAGAATTACCAGATGGTGGTTGGAGGTACTCAACAGGAAACCCTGGGCCCAGGTTTCATGCTACTTGGTACTCGTTAGCAGGGTGTACCTGTAATCTTGATGGAACTGGTGTTCCCTGACGGATTTGATCCCCTGTCACTCAGTCAAAGATGTTACCACTGAGCTATCCGGGCCGCAACCTTTTATTTATTTTATAATGGATATTAAAAACAGAAATGTGAAAGACAGATTTCACTTTACTTAATTCTTCTCAACTAAATGTACACCTATAACAGTGTTATGATTTCCGCTGAGACTATAATTTAACAACTTGAAGTGTTTAATTGCCAACAAAATTTACTCATATCAGTGTTGAATATTTACAATGGGAAATTATAAATATTTACAGCAGAGAACTGTCAGTTCACTCATTTCTCAAGAAGGTTATTAAATACATTCATATTTCACAGATGTGCTAAATTTAGATGATTGGTCATATGCAACTATAAATAATAACTAGGTATTTAGTAGAAACTTGCGATTAATTCTCAGCATTATTTAGACATGGCAGAAAACAGTGCGTAGACACAAACATTCGTCAAAATTTAATCAAGATAATCATTAGATAATCTTCATCATGGGGCTGTGAAGATTGTTAAGTTTTTGATTGAAATCATAAACCGATTGATGTTGGACCAACACTAAAAACCTGAAAGCATTAGACGGCGACTTCGTCCTAGAATGGGACATCTCAGCAGTGCGCATCGGTGGTCTAGATGTTAAGAGTTCATGCGAGAGATCAAAGGTCCTGGATTCGAATCCCAAATGCGGGATCGTGGATGAGCACTGCTGAGTAGTTTCGTACTAGGGCGAATCGGCCATTCGGTGCTTCCGGGTTTTCAATGGTGGTCTAATATTGATCGATTATTAATCTCAATTACATAATCACTTGGAAAAAGATACTAACATTTTGTGATATAAGATTGTTCAAAAACCAGTTATATCTACACAAAATGGCCTCATATCTAATATCTTAAATCCATTTTGGACAACTTTCATCAAAATTTCCTGATAAATACTTATTAATGATATGCGTACAATAGTTTCCGCTCAGTACCATAACTCAAACAAGTTTAAGGTTGTTTCAATGTTTATCATTCATAGTGATTTCCAAAATATTGTCAGCCAAACTATATGTATGTGGTTTATTTATAACAATAGTTATACTTCTTTAAAGTCTTAGTTATTAATCAAAAGTTACAAAATGAAACAGTGTGATCATTTAACTTTTGGTGCAATAATAATAAATGCCTTCAATTGTAAAATGAATAGTTTTGTATCAAAAGATTATGAAAAAAGCCTTCAAGTAATCAGTCATGAGTTTCAGTGTTAATGGCTTTACTGTTTATACATTTACTCATTGTATTTAACTTTTGTCATAATATCATTGCTTTTTGCGTTCTGATGACAAAATACAAAATAAAAGATATATATGCCATAATTCATATGATCCTGTTGTCTCAGGATAAATGAACTATATTAGAAAACCTAGCCAACTTCATGTATCATCATCATTCCTACATAATAATTCAGTTTGTCAGATATCAACAGAATCGTTTTTATCTTTGCTAGAATTTATTCATATTAGTTTTATAGATTTTTATAGATTTCAATTATTGTACAAAGTTTTTGGTTTTTTCGATAGTCTCGTTTCTTACACTAAAGCCAAATGTTATTCCTTACAAAACAGAATAAAATGACTGTTTGTGCATTAAACAACAAAAACGGTTAAATCTCTGAACATGTTACAGTACTAAAAGAATGGCTTTAATTTATTCCGTATTGTTTTAAATTATCGAGTTCATCCTTAACGAATACGATTAACATTATTCATTATAAATAAAATATGAACTACTTTGTAGTAGATCTGATTTTATCAAGTAGGGTATTTTAACGATAAAATACGAATAAACAATTAGACTACAAACTGATTGAATAACTTACCTACAACAGTCATCCATGGCCATATATGTGTTGGAGATAATGAAGATCTAACACTATTATTACTACCACCACTGTTTAGATGATTTCCTATATTTACATTATTCTCCATTTGATGATTATTATTATTTTGTTTATTCAGCCTTTCACATGGTGTTGATGATGGTGATATCATATCACTACCATCTATTCCGGATTCTCTGCTATGTCCACTTAAATTTAAATGTGATGAAACACCAAAATTAGACATTCCAGTGTTAGCTACCATATAATTTGTAGCAGCTGCGGCGGCAGCAATCGCAGCCACGGCAACTGCTGCATTATTCGATGATGTAACTGTCATATTTTGTCCCATATGTCGTATCATATCAGGTGACGTTATATTAAGACTAGCATTATTGTAACCACTAATATTCACACCACCGACAGAAGGAGTTTCCACAGCTACTGCATCAGCTGCTGTTTTATTTGTAAAATGTTTGTAATTAGATTTAAAATGTGAATCAATTGTTTGATTATCTAGCGAATTAACAGTGTTATTTATTTCTGAATTTATCATAGATGTATTAGTAAGTGATGTAGAATTAGGATTATGAAAATCTAAAAATGGATTTGACGTATCAATACGTTGATTTTCAGCATTTGCAATATCTGAAGCAGAATGTCGTAAAGGATATCGTATTGATGAATTTAACAAACTAATCGGTGAATAATTTGAAACCAATGGATGAAATGCACCCATTTCACATGGCTGATTTGATTTATTGTAAGGTGATTCTACTTTGGCATTATTATTATTATTATTATTATTGTTGTGAGCCGAGGAAATTAAGTGCAATGAATTGCCAGGACCAAGTTGATTATTAGTACTAATTATTGTTGTATTATTATTCATATTCGTACCAGGTAAAGAAAAATGGGTAGAATTAGTAAACAAGTCAATGGGATGAGAAGTATTTGATCCAAGATCGAAATGATTAAATTCTGAACGTGATCGAAAAGTATTCATTTTCATATTATAAACATTGTTATCATTATTATGATTATTATTACTGTTAACGCTATGTATATTATTACTCTTGTTAGAATTAGTAATATTCATTGACCCAGTAAAAGTGTTCGAAAATCCAGAAGGATTTTGATAAATTTGTGAATCAGTTTGATTTGTATCCGTAAAAGAATTAGTGAAAAATGCTGCAGCTAAAACATTTGCTCTTGACGATGATACTGAAAGTGTGGGATTTGAAAATTCATTATTACAAGTAGATAATGAAGACTGACGTAAATTCAGTTGTGTATTCGAATGTAATTGTGTATTATTAGTAAGTTGTAGACTATTACCAGTATTATTATTATTATTAGATAGTGTATTTTGAGTTAAAGTGTTACTAATATTATTATTACTATTCCATTCAGATCGAAATGTATCTACTTGTGATGGATTAGTTATACAAGAACCTAATGAACGTGGAAATAAATTATCAAATGCAGAATTAAGACCAAGACGATTATCCATTGGAAACATAATAAACTTGTTAAATTATTCTTCCTTTCCAACTATTGAATAAAAAAAACATTAATGAAAACAATGACACTTATATCAACAAAGAGGATAAATGAAATTTTGATAATCGATTTGATTTGAAATGGTGAAGTTATTTACAATGAATAATTAGTACTTCAACTTGATGAGTAATGAACTTTTTCTTCAAGATTTATGTTCAGCTGAAATGTTCTACAAATGTATACATATTGAATATATATATTACTATGTAAAACAATTTTCATCAGGTAATATATCCAAAATATGTTTAAATTATTATTATAAAATGGAAGTTTTTTAATCAGTCGATTATCTGATGTTTTGTGAATGTTCCTTTCTTCTTCTTCTTCTTCGATGTTACGTAATGAATATCTGAATAAATTTGTTGAATGGATCGTTGATTATAATTTCATGAAATGATTTATTTTATTGTATAATGTAATAAATTTTCTGATTAGACTATTAACGATGACGATAGTAGTGGTAATAATAATGTCATTAACAATAATAATTATTACTATTATTATTATTATTATTATTATTGCATGTGATATAATGAATTATTAATGTTGATTGTAATAAAAAATAATGACTAGTGAAATATAATACTCTGAATTATAATTGACTGATAAAATAATGAGTCACAAATATTAATTCTTTATTTGTGTATATGTGTTTGACTGTTTGGTTAAGCAAATATGTGTGTTATCCCCCATGATCATTTCATAATGTCATATTTGTAATTCAATAGATAGGTTGATTTTTCTACCAGTAAATATATTTGATAAAGGAAAGAGAAATCAAGACAGGAACAAAAAAAAAAACGATAACGTTACTAATCAGAAAGTATGTATAGATAGACATACTAACAAAAAACATATAGATACATTACAAAAAAAGGGATACTCTTTGTTACTGATTATTTGCAGAAAACAAAACACAAAAACCAAAAATACATTTCTCCAAGCATAATGAACACTTACTTGTTGATTTTTTTTTCACAATTTCTGTTAAACTTTTCTTACCAATTTTTTTGTTTATTTCATGTGTCTTCCCCTGAGAGGTTTTTTTTCTCTTCAAATTATAACTTGTTACTTTATTTAACCAATCATTATGCGAGTAGAACAGATATGTCATTTTCGGCTAATCAATTTTATCAGTTAACTTTTGATTGGTTAATTGAAATAAATAGGAAAGAAACAATAAATTATTTTAAGCAAAGGGAGTAAATACATTAGAGCATAAAAATGCATGAAAAATAGAGAAAATACTCATTTTCCTTTAGTATCATCACGCAATACCTAAAAGGAGGGAAATATAAAATAATTATAGTTTGGCGCCAAAACCAACTTAATGTATATATCATGTTGAAAAAACGATGTTAATTTGTGTTTATTACCTTTACACTGGTAAGTACGTATATACAATCACGCGTATATATAACAGTCAGTACACAAAACATTATACTAACAATCAGTGTATGAAATTTATTCTATTGTGCGTAACAAATAATATACTCACATTACGTTATGTTACCTTAACAACAACGAAAAAACAAACAATAACATGTTTAACATTAAACAATTTATTGTAGATTTGCGCAAAACAAATAAATATACACAAACAATTTGTTTATTACTGGCATCAGAAAAATGAATAAGCAAATAAAATTAACTGAAAGACTATAGGTATCAGAAGAAGAAGACGAAAGAACAAATATGAACAAATAAGATAACTCCCTCTCTCTGTTAATTTGTAAAATGTATGTATATATATACACATAATGATGCTATTTATGTTTTAAAAAAACAGTTCTCTGATAATGTATTGTTTTTGTTTTTTACCCTAATGACTACGTAACCAAGCTGGTTCCAGTATTACTTTGTATCAATATCGTGTATTGCAATTATGGAATTTATTAAAGAATTTCCGAACTGTTAAACAAGCCTCTCAACAGCATTGCTTGTCGCCATGGTGTTTATGACTAGAGAAGCAAAGTTACACTTCCTCTTTGTATTTTGTAGAAAATAATTAACATTATACATTTTTACACTGTTTAAAGAACAATTGTTTCGTAAAGACTAACAGTGTACCATTGTAAGATTAGTACAGTTGCGTATATATATATATATATATGTACACTATTGATATGTATTGCCGTAAACATGCAAACATTTTACGTACAAACATCAAGATTATTAAACGTAATTGGAATCATACATATATAACTGGATAATAGCTTTTGCAATTATTTAACATATATAGCAATCAGTGATAAACTTAATAATAAGCGGATGGGTAGATGTAATACAGAGATAAGAAGAGAGTGGTTTCATTCCATATTGATTAATGACTAGTCACAGCATATAATGATTGTAACATCGGTTATCTATGGCTTTTACTTTACGTTATAAGATCAGCTACAAATAAAGATGAGACAATCGGAATTGAAAAAAGAACACTGTCCGGTATTTTTATTTAAATTCAAAAGTGAATGACTTTCATTTTACAGCATATAAAGGTTTGGTCGAAATACATAAGAAGATTTAAAACCATTAAGAAATATGTATTTTTTCACCTAATGCTAGAGAACATTTGAAATGTTCACTCCATTCCATGTAGACTATACAAACACGTAAATCAATGAGACTTGATTCAGTTAAGTTTGTTTAGATTAGAATATTGAAGTAATCACTGTGTCATTGTTCTATTGAATAGTAGGACTTCATAAATAGGCATCTATTTCCAGACATAACTTCCACATACCGTTGTGTTGGAAATCCATCACCTTAGTTCTCTAACGAACTCCTGTCTAAATAACCGTGGGAATGACACAGATCCAGAAAATAAAACCTTCAGCGTGTGTGTTTTGCGTCAAATAAATTAGGCTATTCAGCGCCATCTCTCTTAATTTAAGGCAGAAAAGCTGATAATGAGCCATGAAATAACTTTCTAAAACTATAATACATCAATAAGTCACATTACTTCTGCGGCGAAACACTTGGAATTCGTGCATATATTCTGTTCATCATTGAAACGTTGCTTCAAAATCACAAGGTCATTTTAATGTTATCGCTAAGTCGTTCCTACACTGTAATGATACAATTTCTCATTTCCGTTACATTTCGATTTGTTTGAATACTATTAGGCTAAATTATACAATTAGTAGATTTATTTGCATGTGACTGTAAATGTAATGATAATAATATTATAATAATAATTCATTTCTAATTTGAAGTGGTCGGCAACAATCGACCATATGTCCTAGGTATATGTTTCGTGGCGGATGACTCAACTTAGCAAGCCATATTCACTCTCTCAACAAAAATAAACTGTGAGGATTGCAGCTCATTGGTGCCATCTCTGTGTCAAGATTTGTAACATGTTCAGATCCCGTGTATGAAGTTAGTTTCTTCCAAGTCTCAGACACTAGGCTGATAAGTGTTGTGTAGTATTAAATTTAGGTACACAGGCTGATGATTTACTCTATCCATATTACATTAAATAAAATCCACTACGAGATTAAGCCATCTACTCTAGTAGCTACATTGTAGATGAGCAGTATTGTATTCAGTCAACACTAAGAAATAAAACGAATAAGCATAGTAACTTTTCAGTGACCAAATAGTGTATAAATTTCTAGTAAAAATAGTCATTTTTTAATCACTGTGGTGTGTGTCTTGAATTGTTTCTTAAGTGAGTAGTCTATTGAAGTTTCGAATGAAATATGAACATAGTCAAATAGTTTAGATAGTATTCGATAGTGTGAAACAGATTTTTTATACTTGAATTGAAAAAAGTACCTTCATTGTTCATAAAACATGATTTGGTTAAATACTGGAAAATGGTTCTAATTGGGAATGGTCTTTTCCAATCAAACCATTGCATAATAAAAAAGTTTTAATCAGAAGAAAACAAGGTGTGTCAGGATGAGTTGAAAATTATTAATCACTCGTATTGTATAAGGTTTCTTGTATGAGAAAATGTCTTAATTCAATTGACTGACTCCCATTTAATAAACAATATCAAAGCGTATCTAAGCACTGAATTATTTTGCATATGATATTCGTCAAAGATTGACCTTAGTTAAATTAGCATCGAAAACAAGAATTATATGACAACTCTTTCATCTAAGCATATATAGTGAATTAATTAATCCGAAGTAAAGGCTGTTATATCCCGACTCGGAGTACTAATTGTTAGGGGGTTGTTTCAACATGTGGTGGTTTTCACCAAGTTTCTTAGAAGAGGCATTTGTTTACGCTGATGAAATGTCTTTTTACTGAGATGATTCTACTGTGCTTCATTCGCACAAAACTCCACCATAGAATCTGAATTATTTGTTAATAACTAAGTTACATAAAAGTGACCCCAATTCTCTGCAAAGTTAGTGAGTTTTATTATTTATAAATAGAATAATACATTTATGACAACCAGGGTTTTAAAACAATTTAACCAGTACAATCTAGCAGATCCAAGCTCTATAATAATAATAATATCCAGTCGACACTTGACCAGTTTCAGTGGAAATCAGTAGCCCAGGAAATATCATTTTTAAAACCATATATGACTAACTACAAAATTGCTTATTTTCCAAGATTCAGTATTTGCTTATTATCGAACGGCTATTCTTGATAACGTACACTTGTTTTTGTAATTTCAGTTGATTCGGTGGTCTTGTAGGGAGGACTTAAAATTAAAATTACAAAAAGAATTCGAACAAGCGGTTACAACTTAATGAAATTCAACGTTTAGTCAAAATGTATTATACGTGAATTTTTCTCTCAATAACTGAGGTATTTTCGCTATATAATGAGATAGCCCCAGTGTTCTGTCTCAGAATTTCATTATGAATATTCGAGAACCACTTCTTTATGAACCCAAGATTACTTGAATATTTGGATCTGAAAAATTCAGGATTTCATTCATGGATTTTTAGTGATTAACGCGTTAATCTTTCAACTTGTTACAACCGCACACTGAATAGTTGAATAAGTGAAATTAAACTTGGAACGTTTTACAGACAAATGTTTTTAAAACGCAGGTCACGTCTTCAGTGCAAACTAAAATCTGACTTATACAGTGACACAAAAGTTGAATATAGTCCCCTTCATGAATTTAACTGATTTAAAACGATCTTTTTAACAGTCGAATTCGTGAATCGATCTAAGCTAGCTTGAGACGGATTTCCTGGAGTTGTATTGAGAAGCCATAGCCAGTGGAGTCCAACCGTGTCGAAGGTGAGATAGTTATCCACCTCGAACAATGGAAGATTAGTTGCAAAAGATCATGAGTCAGTTGAAGTTAGACATTATTACCATTGGATGCCGGCTCAGTGGTCTAGAGGTTAAGTGTTCTCATCCAAGACCAAACATTCTTGATTCGAGTCCAACGTGTGGGGTCGTGGATTTGCAATGTCGAGTCTGAAACTAAGATGAAACGGTTATCCAGTGCTTCCGGGTTTCCAATAGTGGTCTAGCTTAGATCTGCTCATTAATCTAATTGTCAAAATTACAACAATCTCTTCAA